TTATTTTATTACTGTTTTTTATAATTTAGTAAGTAAGAGGAAATTATAAAATGTAATACTTTTTTGGTTAATAATATGTTTCGAAATTATATTATTATTTTATTCCGTTAAATTGAAAATGCGCGACCACGAATGAAAGAGATAATCAAGTTTGTGCTTTCTTTGACATCGAGTTAACGGCATTGCGACATCAATATCTGGACGCAAAATATTGTTAAATGATAAGATTGTTGAGTATGTATCGATAAAAAATTGTCTTGGATTAATTAAGAACTTTTATTACATTGTGATACAATGAACACGATATTCTATTTCGGATACTTCAGTTGCTTTCGCTAAGAAAACGAAATTTCGAAAACAAAAAATATAATTTAGAGAATCAAAAAATATATTTGAATAATGTAAATAATATATTTAAAATGTATGTATTTAAATAATATAATTTTAAAATATGTTTAAATAATTATAAGAATTTGCCGGTGAACTATTTATTATTTTACTACAATACTTTGATCGTTATATTATCACAAAGCGATAATTTTGATTGCTCGATAAATATGTTTTGTTTTCAAAATCTTGGACACCCATGGCGTTTGAAGTGTTTTAATCACATAATCAGATAAATGAATACTAAATATTAGTCATTCGTCATAATAAAAAAAAACGAACGGGAATAAATATTAGTCATTCGTCGTATAAAAAAAAAGATTACGTTAATCCTATTTTTCTCGCATACATATCGATATTGAAGTTATCTCGATAAAATGTACCGTGTCTTTATATGGTATTAAACACAACACGACACTTGGAGAAAAAGTGTTGTGCTGAACCTTTACCGCAGTTCTAGCGACAGTTCTCGTTAGTTCTAGCAGAATTCTATGCTCTACAATCATTTTTAAACAGAGTTACAAATACTTATGAATATCATCGAAATTTACAGTGATTAACTATATGTCGGCCTGAACATAAAAAATTAAGTGCGGATTAATTATAATTTTTACATTTGTCGGATGTCGGATATTGCGAAATCGAGATAAACTTAAAAATTTTTAATATTTCAAGGAAAGCAAAAGAGCACTTCGAGTCAAATGATATTATTTGCGGACGCATTTCTGCACCCTATTTTTGCGGTAAACAAATCGCTGTCAAGTAGCAAAGAAAGAACCGGTTGCATTGTGTTCTTTTCAAAGTGCATTTATTCATTATACAAAGAAAGAAGTAATTTTTCCGTTATCATTACATGTACAATACATCACAAATAGCATTATTTAACTGAAAGTGCTTTTCTCGAAATATTAAAAATGTTTTAAGATAACTGTATTGATGTAATAACTCATGTTGGAAAACATAAACGATAATAAATAACACAATGCAGACAACCGGTTTATTCTTTGCTTTGATAGTGATTCGTTTACCGCAAAAATAGGGTGCAGAAATGTGATCATTTGACTCGAAGTGCTTATTTTGTGTTTACTTTCGTTTATGTTTTTCAACATGAGTTAGGTTAGGTTATATCAATATGGTTATCTTATTTTTAATGTTTCGAGGAAAGCACTTTCGGTTAGATACTCGGTTTATACACATTGCGTTAAATTTGTGCAATTGCAGTGATTAATTAAAGCGGAAGTATTTGATATATTAAAGTTGAATATTAACGTCCCACCCAGCACACATATCCAAAAGATGTCTAGAAGACAAAGATATCTTTGAGAGATACGAAATCTTCGGGATGTCCCCCGAACATCCTCTGAATATGCATACTGTGTGGGACTACATCATTGTTGTCATTCTCTTAAAATAATATTTTTTCCATTTTTTTAAATAGAAGATTTCTGAATCATAGAAAATAATATGAAGGAATATCGTAAAAATAGATTTATCACACACCTGTTTGATTGATAATAATAAAATCTCGGGAATATACCTGACTACATCATCAAGTGTACACGTAAACCAAGGTAAATCGTACAGATAAGACATAACTCAATAGAACCAAAAGTGCGAGGTATTTCTTATAATTTTTTTAATGCTGAATACAATATTGGTTTTAAAAACGCTCTATCACGTCAAAATTTTGAGAAATTAAAGATTAAAGTTATAAAAAAGATGTTCATAAAAGGTTATTTTTTGTAGAACTGTGCAATTTGCAAAATCGAGATAAATTTAAAAATTTTTAATGTTTCAAGGAAAACAAAAGCATTTCGAGTCAAATGATATTATTTGCGAACGCATTTCTGCACCCTATTTTCGCGGTAAACAAATCGCTATCAAGTAGCGAAGAAAGAACCGGTTGTCTGCATTGTGTTATTTATTACCGTTTATGTTTTCCAACATGAATTATTACATCAATACAGTTATCTTAAAACATTTTTAATATTTCGAGGAAAGTACTTTTGGTTAGATAATGCTATTTGTGATGTACATGCAGGGCCGGTGCAAGCACCAGTTTGACCAGGCGATTGCCTGGGGCGCCAACTCCAAGGGGGGGCGCTGAAAACGCCTTAATTTTCCTAAGAAAAAAAGATCTTTCCCAGACCTGAATTTTAAAAATATGCATTGCTTAAATACACAATTCGCTCTTGTTTCCATTCAAATATATCTGTATTCCAATTTGCGCCAAAAATCCATTTAGGAATATTATTTACTAGATAAAATAAATATTTAGGTTGAAAATTAGCCAAATTGAAAGTGATAGCTTTTCGGAAGTTTATCCAAATTAATAATGTTAAATAATGATATTAATTATATTGTAATAATTACTATAAATATATATAAGTTACAACTTACGACTTTAGAATTATACCTTACAAAAAATATGTTTTTATCTATAGGGCGCCATATTTTATCACTTGCCTGGGGCGCTTGTTCAACTCGCACCGGCCCTGTGTACATGTAATGATAACGGAAAAATTACTTTATAGTGACAAGTCATTTTTCGATGAATAATTTACATAATTTGTGAAATGGAAATTCTTGAAAAATGTGACTTAAGTAAATCGAGTTTATAAATATTAATTTGCATATCAATTTGTATACAAACTATGCACAAGTATGTATTTGTTTCTAAAATTTTATTTGGAAACTCGACATTTTCTCCGAAAGAAAATTAACTCTACATTCGTCATAAAATCAATCAAATTAAAATCGAAATTATGAGATGGTTTATATATTAATTACATATATTAATTTGTAATTAGTTGTAAATTTTATTTTAACAATAGGCATTGAAAATAATCGCTGAACATTCACAGCAACAAATATTACTCTAAAATCCGATTTCTGTGACTTCGATTAACTTTCGTAACTATAAAATGTCATTTAATCGACCGCGAACAATAATCTACAATAATAAGAATACAATTAAGGGTAATTCAGTCGGGAAAATCGGTTCTGAATCGATCAACAAGTAGTAAAAAAGATAAGCGATCTTGTCATTCAATTTGCTCTTCTACAATTAGACTTTGTTTATTTGTAATAGAAAGCGCATCGATAATCAATAATCGATAGTCAGCGCTTGGCAAATCGAAACGTTTTCTTAATCGGTAACGCTGAAACAAGTTCGTATTATATCTCTCATAAAACGAATGTAAAATTACCAGCTGTTGGAAGTGATATCTACAATATTCCATGTGCTTATACTTCAACTAGAACACGGAAGATATCGCTATATTGCATTCGTGAGAATTCACATCATTTACCCGCAAGGATGACTGAACCGCACAGTCATTTGGGATTAGCAAATCCACGGACCTGAGCTCACACACTGCGCCTATACATACACATATACACTTAAACTCACATTAACACATACACACAATAATTTAAAAAAAATTGTGAATTATATTTGGATAAGAGTCGACCAAAATAGGCACAGCTCCTAACGGAGCCCTTTATATTAAATAAAAAACCACATCGTACTTGATAGATGATGTTTTATAAAATAAAAAATAATATATAAATAAAATAACTGTAAAAAGTTATTATAAAGATAATTACGAATTATGAATAAAGAGATATTATATTATTAATTTAAAAAATGTGATTTGAGATTTATTTTAATTTTATTTTATTAATAAAATTGATATTACTGATAATATATTGATATAAAAATTATTTTGAATAGTGCATATAAATAATAAGGATTGTGACATCTTATTTTAATTTCAGACTACAAATATAAAACGATAAATTTATATACTTGATCGAAACCATTTTATTTGAGTTTTACAGCATTTTACAGTCTTTTATATTAAGAAGTGCTATGTTAATATTTTGAATATGACAAAATGTTGAAAATTATTTTATCAGATGCGGACATTGCAATAATCAATTAGTGTCAAACAAGCGAGATATCTCCTCCCTTTTTTCACTGTCATTTCTTTTTTCCCATCGTTCTTTGTTCATTATTTATCACTATCGTTGTCAATCACTGGCGAGTGAACACGACCAATTCAGTGCAAGAATGACGTAAGTTCATAATTTATAAGATCCACATTGATTATGAGTAATTCAACCTCACAATTTATAGGCTCATCTCGTTCTTTATTTCGAATCTCTCGATTCTACACGATATTTTATGCCATCGCGACATATCTACGATATCTACATATTTGCGATATCAAATCATTATTGATACTAGTAATGCGATAATACCAGAGCGATATAATGATCCCATTCAATAAATTAAGTTTTATATTAATTATAAAAATTTTTATTTTTTTAGATTTGCTTCGCATTAAGAATCTCTCGTGTTTGCTTGATATTTATTCTTTTAATTTCAAGATCGCGACATAATTGGCAACAATACCAAAGAGTGATCTAATAAATCTAGAATTTGTAAGATCACAAATTTACTTAATTCTTGCGCTTTATTAAAATTATTCACGAATCTTTCCGGTGCTGCTCGACATTGTGAGGTAATTTCAAGACCAGGTACCAGCGCAGGCGACGGCAACGCGCGATCTACTTGCTGGTACGATCACCTTCTGCCGCGTGGCACCGACGGAAACAGCCGTGGATCTCCGAGCTCGCTTGCTCATTCGCTCGCCGCTCTAAAGCAGCCGTCGTGCCGACAGTTACATGTTGGATTTTGTGCCGTGCGTATAGTTTCGTCGTCCCGGCTGGCTAGCTGTCTTCGCTCGGCGAGACGGTGAGTAAACCTGCCCTTTAATCGCATCTTACCTGTCTGTCCGTTGAAATCGATACGCGAAACGTGCAATTTCTTATCAGAACGCGGTCACGCGTTTATTGCGTCGAAAGCGATTATTTACATCCTTCCTCGAATGTATGTATTATTTCGACAGGTGTAACCGGTAATATTGTCCTCGTGTAATGTCGCGATCGTCGTTGATGAATGTATTTCGACTTCGAAAATAAAGTAAGAATAATAAAACCGGCATGTATCAGTCATTGAACAAATCGGAGCAATTTGTTGTTCGGACACCGGAATACGATAAGAATTTTGGAGAACTACGCGTATTCTAGAAATATAAATAATTAATAACATATTTATTGTTTTATATAAGAATATTTTATTGTGTAATAATATTTTTAATTTATCTATTTTGAAGGACATTCCGAAAAATTATTGTTAATTATTATCACAACGCCAAATTGCTCGATAAAAATGATTGAACAGAGCACGGCCGAGTTTTACGTAATTCAATTGTCGTACTCTTCTTACGACGTTCGAGAAAGTCCGCGAGCAGGAATGAAAAATCGTGGTGGGAATTTTTGTGCGTCGCCAGTTTATCTAGTCCGTGATTAGGAGAGTGGAACGCGAGCGTGGTGCGCGCGGGCAGGTGCAACGCGCTGATGCAAAAGCGCGGCGCGGCGCAGCGCGCGTGTGAATTAGTGTGTGAACCTGCATAAGCACCTCCGCGTAAAGCACCTCGTAAAACTATCCGGGGAACGAAAAAGGGGAACCATGGAAAATTGCTCGTGGGCTTGCGCGTAATGCGCAATGACGATGCCGCATACGCTCGCACGCTCGCGAAACATCATCGATTGCGAAACAGGCGCGAACGCGGATGACTGCTTTTGCAAACCACCGCACCGGCCGTATAATTACGGTCATCGTGGTTGCGACGTGTGTGCGTTTTCCACACGCGAGTTCTCGCAACCGCATCCCTTCCGCAGAAAGAGAAAGCAACGTTCCTAGACCTCAGTGATAACGATATTGTCTGATAACGGTGCCCGAAAAGTACTCTTTTTTAGATAAGCCTAATAAAATGAATTTTAGTAAAAATAATTCCGCTTAAACTTACAATTCGTTCTTTCTGTGCTTCGATTTTTCCAACACGATTCATTAATTTTTAGCATTAATATTGTTTCGATATTAAAAGTGTTAAAATTATTGTGATGTCAGAATTTGATTACTGTTTATTTCTAATTACTTCTCTTGTATTTCTCATCGCGGAGCGCACCGAATTATTACGAGCAATATAATGTCGCTTTCTTAAGGAGAGCTTTTGTGCAATCATTCATACTATACGTCATATTAATTGCGAGCTGCGCCGCTGTTCTTAATCGAGATACTTAAGTCGATTCCTCGAAATTCTTCCCACAATTATTATTCGACGAGATGTTGTCAACATGCGAGTTGTATATATTTCGTGTAATCACGATTCATTTCAAATCTCGGAACATTGGTTTATCCCGAAGTGTTTGCGACACAATCAGATCATTGTCTGACAATATTTTTTTTTTATGTATTCTTCGAACGTCAGCGATATCCAACCGCAAAAAAAAACGTCGAATTAGCTTTGTACATTATTCTGAGATTGCAACTTACGATCGAGCAAATTCAAAACAATACGCTCGCGTATTCCGTCGTATTTGTATTGTCCGCTGTTCCCGACGCGTGCGAAAGTCATCGAAATCGGAGACAGTGGGATAACGGCGAGCCTCGTTATCATTCTTTAGCGAAAGTAACGCGGCGAAAGTGAGCCAACAGACAGAATTGAAATTATTCTGTGCGCGCGCGCAAGTCTAAAAAAAAAAAGTCTTATTGTCGTTTAACAGATCTCTTAGCGACCGTGTAATGTACGACGATGAATCAAGTGTTACGCAACCGCGGAAAAAGAACGATTCTATATATGTGTATATAGGTGGGCGCACTGCCGTGAGAGACGAGGACGCCCGTGACTCATGCACGATCTCGATCGTGTGCACTTAAATGTGAATCGTGACCACTTCCGATGGAGTCGTTTATCAAGCTATTATCGATTCTCTTTGGAGAATAAATCGCCGGCTGAAAATTTGCATATCAATTCTCGTTATTATTAACTTTTATCCCTAACAGCATCGCGAAAGACGCATTATCAAATTAATGATAATATTCAAGAAGTTGATGTAATTTTTTAGAGATTTGTTTCGAAAAGCGTACATTGTTGATTAATAATTTATACATGAATTATCAATTATGTTTAATAATAATATTGTAAAATAATATACCGTTAGATCGGGAGAGCAATTAGTATTTGTAATTATATCGCAAGATTTATTGAGAATTGGTGTTTATTAAAATTTTTCGAGCTAGATCGAAATAAGGTGGTCTGAACTCATTTGCAAAACACATCGCATTAATCGGTGCAAAATGCTGCCGAGCGGAACTCGGTGCAAATGGGATATCGCGGGACCGAAAGCTCGACCCACTGCACTCGATCTAATCACCAAGTGCTCTTGATAACGACGACGGTGCGAAGGTTGTTCCAATTAATGTTAAATGGCGTAAAACGACGAAATGTCTCGCCATGATCAAACCTGTCGCACGGTGACATTATGAATTCATTATAATTAAACCGTGTTTGGTCGCGCGCAAAATTTGATGAAATAATTTTATTTCATTCTAAGAATGACTTATTGTAACTTTTTGAATTTAAATTTTAGATATAAATTTAAGTTAATTTTATATTTTACTTTATTTATTTTATACGTTTTATTTGTCTCTTATTTTTTTATTGTTTATTAATTGGCACTAACATGTTAATATTATTGTCCAAAAGATTGCAATTCAATGTATATTATTTTTATAAGAAAATATATAATTTTTATGTACGGAAATTGTGGTATAACTTATTTAGAGAGTGAAGTAGATTTTTCTTGTTTTATTATAATCTTGTCAGATTTCCGTATTTTTCGTTCTCAAGTGCCATTAAGAACAATAATGATAAATAAGAATATTAAAGATATAATTGATAATTCTTTGGAAAAATTGAGTCGCTATTTGTGCTAGTGTATCGTTAGTTCACTTATCATAATTCTTGGCATATATGCTAACATAAATTGAAATTCAGGGACGTTGTCTTTTTTTTTTTGTGTGTTGACTACGGGATTCGGTACGGGAAATTCGTGCGCGCGCTCACGCGTGTCTCCTTGTTTCTGTATGCCAGTCCCACCTGCCGTTTCCTGCTTCCTATCGTCGCGCCTCTTTCATTCCCTTTCGCCCGGGCCCTTTCGTTGAATGAGGGGCCTGTCGCGCGACATGCCACGCACCTCCCTACGCAAAGTGCATTCGGAATTGAAGGCTTGACCTCGGCAAGCGCGATTATCCGCGAGAGTAAGGTTGCGCGGAATGAAGGTGGAGAAAATAAACCGCACCTTATCGCGAAGAAAATAAACCACGCCTTATCGCAAAGAGAACAATACGCGACAGCTCGATTTAACGTCTATCGGAAAAAAAGAGACCGAGTCCTCCGTGCAAAAAGGCCGAGATCGATAGCACTGTAGCATTCGCTCTACCGCAAATTTAAGAAAAAAAAAAAAAAAGATTAACGACGACGGAAGAGAGGCAAGAAAGACGATGCAACATCTGGACGTTACGGTTTCTGCAGCTATATAGTAGAAGGTGAACGAACCGATCCGAACGATTCCTCGCTTCTCTCTTTCTCTCATTTTCTATCTCTGTTTCCCTCTCTTTCTCTCCTTCTCTTCGCGATGCATCTTGCTCTCGTGGCACGCAGAAAATTGCCTCTTAACATGCTTAGACACCGCGTAACAACGCTGCAGCATTGTTTGCTTCATTCGGCCGCGTCGTTTCGGTAGCTGTCGATTAAATTCGAGCAGGCAGTTTGACTATCGTACCCGTTACGTCATGCCGTGATGCGCTCGTTCCGCGGGATTAGCGCGGTGCAAAACGATGCGCCCGTCACCGTCTCGCGCGATGTCCTGAGGATCGATGCAAGGATTTACCGGTGGCTTTTACCGTTACGATATCTCTAACGGGATGCGGGGAATATGAGAGGAGGAACAAGGCAATTTCTCGCGCTTTCCAGATCGGCCGCGCAGTTCCAGCTGCTGACTTGACAATCTCGGTATTACGCTGTCGAGCGACAATTGCAATGAAACTTTTCATTTTCAGTTCTAACGAGCTGCATAACGAGTTTCATAACATTTTGACCTTATAGTTAGATATTTTATTTTAATTTAATCTAACTATATTAAAATAAAATATTTTGTATAATATAAATGATATAATTGGAATATGTAATATAAGCAATAGAGATTTGATTTCAATTTAGCGTAATAAATAAAAAGTTATAAAATAAAATTAATTCTGATTTCTATAGCGCCTCGCATTTTCGCGTTACGCGTATCGGATGCGTTTGCGTGTAAACGACGGAGTTGATATATCGTGTTGTGCGATGCACATGACAAATACGGACGAGGGACTTTTTCAAAATTCTGTCACAATACGCTGTGCATGGCGCGCGTAAAACGCGGAACGCAGTAGCTTGTGACGACCTTTGATCACGCAGTGACTGTCGATTGTCGAATACTCGTAACGCTGGAAAATATACGGAACAGTGGCTATTTTGTGAGAACGACAGCGTTTTGTGCCTTTGCGTCCGTGATTTTATCATCGCTTCTATGCCACCTGCATTGAGCGTGTCCGCTGCGCAGGCTGAACTCGAAAATTATTGCAAAAATAGCGTTACGTAATCAAGAAAATTGTCTCCGGAGAAATAGATAAAAATACAGGAGTTGATGAGCAGTAGTGTTATTTTGCAAAAGAAAAAGAAATAGTTTGAGTAATATAAAATTTTATATTTATCAACACGGACACTTTGAAATATTTACATAAAGTGTCTCGAGTTTATTATATTTTCTTTTATCTCAGAATTTTTTCAACATATAAAAATAATCTCAAAAATAGCTTTTTAAATGGAGAAATGGAATAGTATAATTATTTTATATTTTATATAAATTAACATTTATAATTCAACATTGATGCGAGAAACATGTAGTATAATTTAGCAAATAAAACATAATCTGACGATGAAAAGTTTGCTGTTCTAAAAAAAAGTAAAAGTAAACACACACACACATGTGTTGCAATTGCACCGTGCAGTTTCGTCAATGAGTAATGGATTATTTCGTCGCAATGTGCCTCATTGCTTATCTCGATAACATGTCATGATAAGCGATAAGTGCAAGCTCGGAATTTCAATTTTTGCGTAGCCCAAACGTAGAGAAATCACTAAAATATAAATGGTATTAGCATGAATATCGCTTTATGTAAATTTTCAACCGACGACAATTGTTAAATTTTAATTTTTGCTCTTATCACAGAATTATCTTATACAATTTCATTAAAGCATATATAGGATGCCTCAAATTCACCGACATTAATTTTGCAGTTTTTCAAATACATTAAAAAGGTTTTGAGGGACTGCGAAATTTGATTAAACAAGTTTTTATTCTACAAGCCAAAGTTAAGAATATTTTTAATTTTAAGACTGAAATGTGTGATAAAAATTTACATGTAATTCTGAAGCATTCGTTGACTAAATGCTGTTCAGAATTTCCTCTTCGGAATCCATGTTTTGAATGTCGCTTTATTCGAGAAGACTACATTGTTCTAATCACGGTCGAAATTTTCTTCTGCAGGTGCGTCTGCTATCGATATGCTTTTCGAAAAGTAATGGTTTGAGGAAAAGTTTTAATTGACACATTATTGTATTAATATCAATATTGACGTTTATATTTCTTTTTAAAAGCATTCCACGTTAAGAACATTTCCATGTTATATATTCTGATAACGCATTGATAAACGTAATCATTTATCTATAGTTATTTAAGCCCACGAGAAATCTTTGACTATCGCTAACCTTCATGCGACCAATCCTCACCTTTATCGACCGTGACGGCACTTTTGTTGCTTCTTCCGTCAATAATGCCTAGCTTTGAATAAGAAACGAGGCCTGGATGAGTGCTAAAAATCATCATTCTGCATACGTGATAGAGCGCCGGAAGCCAAGACGGACGATCCGTTCGCCGGAAACTTTTCTGATGGAAAGTGTGACAAGGGGGAACGAAGAGAGAGAGAGAGAAGAAAGTGTTGCGCCAACAAAAACTGTCGTCGACAATTTACGTTCTATAAGTGGCAATGATTTACGGATTCATTCAGCTGGCGCTCAGCTCGTTGATTGCTCGCACAGCGAATCTTAACGAGAAACTGCTGTTTTACATTGAATAATCCCGCGAGATTACCGGATGTCATTTTAACTATAGATTTCTCGTCCAATTTGTAACCGATTTTTGCTTAACAAAGAAATCGTCGTCATTCACTGCAATTGTTCAATTTCTCACATTATCCGCGTATTTTCGCAATAAATTTTTGGCTTTAAATTGAATTTGTAAAGTTACAAATTATTCAATACGTTTAAATAATTAATGGCTTGAAAATTATTGAAAAAATATTGATTTTTAAAAGAGAACTCTATATTCTTGGTCACCAATACCTCTTATAAGTAATTATGTACTGTATCTTGTTAGAATTATAATATTGATATCATACACATTGTTGTATGCAATTATATTGTTATATGTAATTATTTATATTGTTGTGCGTAATTACTATGCACTTTCTACCGAATACAGATGCTGCAGATTAAAGTAATGATAGAAAATTGTGGGACGCATTGTTTTGACCGTGGAAACTCTTTTTCCAGAGTAAAGCTCCGGGATGGAGAACCAGCAGGTATGGGTACGGGACGCCCAGGAGGGCTTCATTATCGGAAAATTCACAGACATGGTGGACGGAGACGCTCTAATCGTACCACTCAATCCGAAATATCCACAACGCACCTGTCCGCTGGACGAAGTGTATCCCGCTGGCGAATACACCAAAGATGTCGAGGATAATTGTAAATTTTATTTTTTGTTTGTAGCATATCGCCGTTTTTAACGCTTGAGAAATTTCTCGATTTTACGTTACGTAAAATTAATAAAAATGAAGGAGAAAATCAGTTTCTTGACTGCATAATATCAGTTAAATTTGTCACGGTTTGTTACGATTATGGCGCGATGTTATAATTTTTAATAGCTATAATTTCTCGTTAAAAATATATTATTGAAAATAAATAAAAATTTCTACGCGCCGCAAACGTTAAGAAAAGAGAACAAAGAGAATGGAGTGAAACGATACGTTAGCGCCCGTTTACCTGTGATTCCCTGGATTGTTATACACCGTGACGAACTTGTTTCGCGTCCGGCTTATCAGGGGCTACGATCGCGCGCGGTTACGCTCGCTTCTCACGCGACTTTCGCTCTTCAGGCACTTTCGCTGATTTTTTTCTATATCTCTAAATTGCTCTCTCATAGGCGCCCTGATGTACCTGAACGAGGCCACGCTGCTGAACAATATACGCACTCGTTACTTCAAGGATAGAATATACGTGAGTAATTGCGATGCTTAAAGAACGTTGTCACGCTGATTCACGTTGCCGAAACTCTGAATCGTCCGTTATTGTGCTATTTAATTGCAGACTTACGTCGCCAACATTCTCATAGCCGTGAATCCATATTATGAGGTGAAAGATCTCTACTCGCCGCAGACCATTAAGGCTTATCAGGGAAAATCTTTAGGCGAAACGCCGCCGCATGTTTTCGCCATCGGTACGATACACATTCTTTTTCTCTCCTTCCGTTCGTTAATTCACTCTAAACTGTGGTGCAGAATGAGAGAGATTCTTTATTCTTTATCTTTGCAGGCGACAAAGCGTTCCGCGACATGAAAGTGCTGAAACAATCCCAGAGCATTATCGTATCCGGCGAATCGGGAGCCGGGAAGACCGAGTCGACCAAGTATCTTCTGCGATACCTCTGCGATCTTTGGGGCTCAAAGGCTGGACCGATCGAACAGAAGATCCTCGACGGTAAGGAGAGAGAGCGATAATTAAAATAATAAAGGATAGAATTAAATAATAAGTTGAATAATAAGTAATTGAGAAATAATTCGCTACTCGAAGAATACAAAGCCAAACGTGACAAAATTGAGCGTTTTTTTTTTACAATTTATTCACGCAGCAAATCCGGTGTTGGAAGCGTTCGGCAATGCAAAGACGAAGCGCAACAACAATAGCTCACGCTTCGGGAAATTTATGGAGGTGCACTTCGACTCCAAGTGCCAGGTGGTCGGCGGCTACATCTCTCACTACTTGCTGGAGAAGTCTCGTGTATGCCTGCAGAGTCCAGATGAGCGAAACTATCACGTATTCTATATGATGTGTGCCGGTGCGCCGGCCGATTTACGCGCAAAATTGGGCATCACTAAGCCCGACGACTTCCATTATTTGAGGAACGGCTGCACCCAATACTTCTGTGACGCGAGCTCGGAGAAGCGGCTGAATGAGGCGCAAAAGAGCCGCGAGCAGCTGCAGAAGGGCAGTCTTCGCGACCCTATTTTGGACGACGTCGAGGGATTCAACGCTATCGATCAGGCATGCTTGTGAAATCTTTTTTAATATTTGGTGCAAATCTCTCAAATATCTCTTCTGAATATTTAAAATTTTTTAAAAATACTTTATATACCTTTAATATTTCAAAAATTCTAAAAAGGATCAAAATTTTCAAGTGACATGTATCGTCTCTTCGCGCTTGTAATAAATTTCTAAATTTCTCAACAAATTTTCCGTTTCTTTTAAATTGATAAAAATATATTTCTTCATCGCGCATTAATTTATTGTTTTAACTCTATCAAAGGCGTTCACTCGACTCGGCCTAGCGGACGCGGAACGCATGGAGATCTACACGATGGTGGCGGCGGTGCTTCACCTCGGCAACATCACATTCGAGGACAATCCGGAGGATACCAAGGGCGGTTGCAGGATAAACGGTGGCTCGGAAAGGGCGGTGGTGATATCCGCGAAATTACTGGGAGTGGATCCCGAAGAGTTACGGCAGGCTTTAGTCTCAAAAGTGATGCAGACTAGCCGGGGTGGCATCAAAGGAACCGTCATTATGTGAGTACTCGAACAGAACAAACATTCTGATTAACATCTTTTTGTTATTATTTTATATTTATTATATTTTTACTATTTTTATTACTTTCATTGAATTGTAATATTTTTTTAAGTTTATATTCCATTGCGATCTTCCGATCGTTTTTATCAATCCGTTCAATCACGATATAGGGTACCCCTGAAAGTTTACGAGGCTAATAACGCGAGGGACGCTCTAGCCAAGGCCATTTATAGCAAACTGTTCGATCACATTGTCGCACGAATTAACAAAAGCATACCGTTCAAGGCTTCGAGTTACTACATCGGCGTGTTGGATATCGCCGGATTCGGTGAGCGAATTATTTGCAATCGCTAAACTTTCATGTTTTAATAGAATGGCAACGCGAATTTTCTTTTCTATGTGTTTGTAGAATATTTCAAAGTCAACAGTTTCGAACAGTTTTGCATAAATTATTGCAACGAAAAGCTCCAACAGTTCTTCAACGAGCGAATTCTGAAGTACGAGCAGGAACTTTATGCTCGAGAATCCTTGAACGTCCCTAAAATCTCCTACGTTGATAATCAGGACTGCATTGGTGAGTAAAAAATCAAAATTACAAATAATCTAAAAATTAAATCCTGATTTTTTTTGTAAAATGAAAAATGAAAAATTATTTGATTAATATTAATTATAAATTACAAATTAACTTACATGATTCGCCAAATAATAAAGTATTCTGGTTATTCTGTTATTTTTATTACAAAAATAATTGAGATTATTAATTTTATTTTATCTAATTATACCTTATTCCACAAAAAATAGAGTGGTTTGAAAATTGTTCGATTTTCGTCTTGAAAAGTGTTTCCTAGTTTTTGTAGAGTAGTGTGCAATTAAATGACTTTAAAGTGATTCTATTTAAGATAATTATATCACGAATAAAATAATATTTCTACATATAGGTTTTAAGAATAAATCGTGAATCATGCTAACTTTCAGATTTGATCGAGTCAAAGAATACGGGTATCTTCAGCCTGTTGGACGAGGAATCGAAACTGCCGACTCACAGCTTCGCGCATTTCACCAACGAGGTTCACCGCGCCTGGAGTGGTCACTTCCGCATCACATTACCGCGAACGTCACGATTGAAGGCTCATCGAGAATTACGAGACGACGAGGGCTTCGTGATTCGCCATTACGCCGGCGGTGTCTGCTATCAAACGGTATAATAGCATTATTGTCCAGGAAACAGCAAACACGCAAAAAGCGTCATAAAAGCGTTCAAACCAAGTCAACATTTCTTTTTTTTTTACTTTTTTTTTAGTACATTGTTTGAATTTTTGCGTTAGAAAATTTTTTAGCTGTACATGAAACTCTATATAACTGAGTTCACATCTCGATCTTGTAGAATCAATTCATCGAGAAGAACAACGATGCGCTGCACGCTTCCCTGGAGGCGCTTATTCAAGAGAGCGGCAGTAAATTCCTCAGGACGCAGTTCGCCAATCATTCTTTACAGAAGGGGAAGCTCACCTTTATCAGCGTCGGCAGTAAATTTAAAACACAGCTCGGTGAACTCATGGACAAGTTGAAGAGTAATGTAAGGATATCATCTTTCTCGAACTTACGTGATTTCTTAATTTCCAGCAATTCTTATTCTTTAAAGTAAAAATTTGAATTTTTGTTTAAATATTTTATCTTCAAAAATTTATATTCTCGTTAATATTTTTAGGGAACAAACTTCATACGATGCATCAAGCCGAACAGCGAGATGGTGGCACATCAGTTCGACGGAAACAGTATTATGAACCAGCTGCGCTGCTCGGGGATGACGTCGGTACTGGAGTTGATGGAGCACGGCTATCCCAGCCGGGTGCCGTTCCATGAGCTCTACAACATGTACAAGTCTTACTTGCCGCCGGAACTCGCTAAACTCGACCCGCGTTTCTTCTGCGAGGCGCTGTTGCACAGTTTGAAGCTGAATCAGAAGGATTTCAAGTTCGGGATCACTCGGGTCTTCTTCAAACCAGGCAAGTTTGCGGAATTCGATCGGATTATGAGATCGGATCCGGAGAATTTGCGCAGACTGGTCGCCAATGTGAAGAAGTGGCTGTTGCGCTCGCGCTGGAATAAAGTTCAGTTCTGCGCGTTATCAGTGATCAAGCTGAAGAATAAGATCGTCTATCGGCGGCAGCATTTAATCGTGCTGCAGAAGACGGCGCGGATGTACATCGCGCGGAAGCAGCACCGACCGCGGATACGCGGTATCGTAAAGATTAAGAATCTGCGAAAGCAGCTGACGCGGATGGAGGAGACCGCGGGGCAGCTGAAGAATCGCGAGCGATCGACGCAAGATATGAAGAGGCTCGACGACGATCTGGAGGCGGCCATACGCAAAATCAGGGACAACCCAAGGATCGCGCCGGCGGAGATTGACGGTCTCTACACGTCTTTGGTGAATCAGATGAACAAGCAAATGGCTACGCTCCAGGATATGGTGAAGCAGCAGAAAGTCGCTGAGGAACAGGCGAGACTGAAAAAGATCCAGCAGGAGCTCGAGCTGGAGAAAAATCGAAAAGAGGAGGAAGAGCGCAGGAAGAGGGAAGAAGAGGAAAACAGAAGAAAGAAGTTCGAAATGGAGGCCAGAAGAAAGATAGAGGAAGAGCAAAGACGGAAGCAAGAAGAAGAGGATACAAAAAACCGCGGTTGCTCTTCAGGTTAGCCAAATTTTTTAATGATTATTTAATTAATCTTGAAAATAATTATTTAATTATTTTCATAATTATTTTATTAATCTTGAAAAATGATTAATATAACAATTGGAAATAATTTAATTCATTTCTATACATATATATATATATATTTTGTCTGAAAGATAAATCGACGAGAAAATAATATTTAATTTAATAAAAAATTTATCAGACAATAGTACTGAAGCAATATTGATACTGTTATTTGAGATTAGTCGCTTAACGATTAGTAGATAGAGCTTAAATGATTTGTCGAGCGCAATAAAAATAACACTTGTTTTATAAGAAAAAATTTAACAATGATAACACAAAATGAAACAATAGATTGATATAATATAATCGCGTCGAAACAGTTGTGTCACATCTACCTGTTGTTGGAACGTTCCTCTTTTCGATATCATTTTGAATCAGACGAATAGTGATTTGATATAAATATGAATTTTATGGACATGGAAATTAGCGCAATATCGATACCACATTTCGATACCACATTTGACATTTTATTATTTAAAGGCGGAATTGGCAAAGGAAGCCATGGAAGAGACTCGGTTTCGAGAGTTGCTCGAGCAAGAAAGAAGAGATCACGAATTGGCTGTCAGACTTGCACAAGAATCCAACGGACAGGTGGAGGAGGATTCACCGCCGCCTGTACGAAGGTGAGAATGAATAAATTTAAAAACGATCGATTTTAAATGGTAAATTAATTTATGCCAATAAATATGTTGCGTGGTTTAAGCAATCTTTAAAATATTACAAGTAAATATTAAGCAGATGTTCAGCACGTTAAAAACGTCGAATTAATGTAATAATCTGCGCATGCCAATATTTGCAAACGGAGTTGCTCGCAAATAATTAACGTTTATCGATTAATTAACACTTTCGCGGCCGTTCACGTATTTTTATGTTTATACTTCGATATAGGTCAGAAGCCGGTCACATAATTTTACGTTTATTGTTTTTTGTATCATTGTATTAAGTCGTGTAATATGAAATGTCGGATTTTACATCAGTTTAATATAATAGAACGGCTTTGAGCGTTGAGTAGAGCCGAATATATAACAATCGCGAAAGTGTTAAGTAGTAAAGATATTAAATAACGATAGAACGCAATTGATATCGCTCGAAAGTTTTTATTTAATTGTAAATTAATATCTCACGATTGATAACGTGAAATCAATGATTGTTACCGTATTGTAGAAACACTGTAATATGCCATTGCAAAACATTATTGCATCGTAAAAGCAGAAATAAGATGTTATATAGTTATTTATTTATATTGTTACTGTATTTCTTGTTAAAATCTTGTTTAAAATCACGCAGCGGCTCCGACGTACGAGTGCCAACAAACAACAACAGGCTTATGAGGTATTGTATTTATTCGGGTTCTTGCATGAACGACTAACGGCTAGTGAGATTTAACTTCCCTTTTAAACAAATTAACACTCGTCGCACACAGTGCATTATTTTTCATCAACCGATTCTTCGGTAACTTTTATTCGATAAGTAAATAATTTTCTATCAAAGAAAGTTAGTTAGATAGTTATGTATTTATCACTTGAAGAATCTGTCATAAAAAATATTACGATGAATAACTAATAAAATAGTTAACTAATAAAATAACAAAAAACTAATTAAATTTAATAAAATATTATTTAATAAAAACACTTGATCGCACGATTCACTTAATTTCAGCATGTACTTTTGGCTTTCTTGTAGATTAACATCAAAACGCTGTGCATTTTGGCGCTTAGAATACTTCATCGAAAGTTATGTGTTATGAAGTCGTCATTATATATTATTTTCTAATAAATGTTTGCTCGCGATGTAGATCGGAGCAGGTGCGCAACCAGCAAGCGGCTATGAGCAACAAAAAATATGATTTGTCCAAGTGGAAGTATTCGGAACTGCGAGATGCAATCAATACATCCTGCGACATCGAATTACTGGAGGTACAATGCATCGTATTGATTAGATAAAATTTAGGATTAGATTATTTCATCTTATTAACAATATTTTTTTTATTCTAGGCTTGCCGTCACGAGTTTCACCGTAGACTGAAAGTTTATCACGCCTGGAAGGCGAGAAATCGCAGGAGGACCACCATGGACGAAAACGAGAGAGCGCCAAAATCCATCATGGAAGAAGGTGAATTATTATAATAATGGATAAAATACGATAATGATTATATTTAATAATAAACTAAAATGCATTGAATTATGACGAATAATAGTAAATTAATGACGACTGCGACTAGTTAATATTGCGATTGACTTGGAAATGATATTTATTAGCAAATTTATTAGCGGCGAATAATTGCGCTTTTTAGCCGCGAAAACAACGAGGACACCAATGAAACAGCAGATAGTCGAATCGTCGCAGAGATACTTCCGCATCCCCTTTGTACGTTCCTCCGCAGCCGGGCAGCAGGACAATACGCACGGCGGCAAGAGGGGATGGTGGTACGCGCATTTCGACGGACAGTATGTGGCACGGCAGATGGAACTTCATCCCGATAAACCACCCATACTTCTCGTAGCAGGTATGAATGTCTAACTACAGAAGATTTTTAATAATTGAGCTAATTTTCAATTTGAGGCTTAATGTAAATTTTTTAAAATTACATATGTCCATTTTGTGCTGAAGTATATCTTTCTTCGTTCTTACGGGAGTGGAAAATCCTTTTTCTGTTTATTAGGTATCGATGATATGCAAATGTGCGAATTAAGCCTGGACGAGACCGGATTAACGAGGAAACGAGGTGCCGAGGTCCTGGAACACGAATTCAATCGCGAATGGGAGAAGTACGGTGGTAAACCGTATGTACCACCGTGCGATCGCAAGAAATAAGGAATTTGCTAAGGAGAATTTGTCAGGAGAAGGATTGTTCTTCTCCCTGTCTTGTCGTGAAAAACGCGTAAAAATTTGACGATATTTACATATTTTACATAGTATTTTATCCGCGATGCGTGTACACTCGAGAATGCATCGCCGATTCTGTGCCTTGCAAATGTGTGCCTTGTTTACTGCACAACACGGCCGATAAATTTTTCATTGATATAAGGATATATCGAATCTTTGTCAGAGAAAAAGAATCCTATTTTCCTAGAATCTGGCATCTTTTGCCATTTTTAGCCGTTATCAATTAATCGTATTTCGCAACACGTTTAATACAATTACGATGATAAAACAAGGATTATTGCGCTAGAAAACAATATGTGCGACTGGCGATATATAATGAATTACTTTTCGATATATAATAAATTATACTTTCTTGCAATGAAATGTTTACATCTCCAAACATTTATAAGCAAGTTCGAATAGAGATTGCAAGAAGATATAGTTGAGGTTCCTTGCGTTAAGCTTATACAACGTCGATATGCACTTCCGAACTAGAAATAATCTTATATTTATAAGAACCGTGTCTACACATAAACAAACAAACAGATAAACACACACACACACACACACACACACACACACACACACACACACACACATTAATTTAGTAGTTATGATATTTACTAGAAAAATCATTCCGAATAATAATTAATAAAAAAAACGCTGGAAAAATGACTGAAACGATGTGTATTGTAATAATGCCGAATGATTGTCCGAGGAAACATAACGATATACATTAGTCGCATTGAATTTGGTAAACATTTTTGTGGTGAATACATAAAACTATATAAAATGATAGTGATCTCACTCTTTCATCCAGGTTTTATGTGATTGCTGCATATATTAATAATTATATATTAAAAATATATTACATTTGATAGATACATGTATATTAATAAAATTTTCAGCAACAAAATACATGTATTTAATTTAAAAACAGAATACATATATATTAGGAAATATTTTACGATGCAAAACACACAATTGTCAATATATATAAAAAATATTACCCGGCAGTTACTAAATATAAAAAAGGATCTGAACTAATTATACTTCAAGGAACATTTAAAGTAATGCATGCATCATATTATATTTATGAAATGTCATCACAATGATTTTATTTTCATTGAGTTTCGCATCGCCAAGCTTCGAATAAACGTGAAATAAATTTGCGTTTGTTGATTATGCAGAAAACAAAACGGCGAGGCAACTATTATTTATGAAAGTCTTGAAATATTTATCTAGAAACAAATATTTATAATCTAGAAAATAATTATAGATTATTTTATTTAATAATTATTTTCTAAACTCACACAAACCTATGTCCATTCACTGTAAAATAATTGCTAAAACATAAACAAATTTTCTCCTACACCTAAGAACGAAATTTTTCAAAAACACAAAACACAAATATAAAAGTACATGTGCATGCAAGAAATTACTCGTCATGCGGAAACAACTCGTCACAAGGTTTTAGACTTGTGTTAACTCACTTATGCAGATTTCACTCTTCACTTTTTCTAGCGGTAGTGAAATAAATGTTATTTATAAAATAAATTAAGAGCGATTAGCAGTTTGTTAATCGCGTGCTGTTGCCGACGGCGGTACCCAGCCGCCGAAAGCACTCCCCAATTCTTGCGCAACCGCCAAGCAAAGGCGATCTTGATAAGGCGCTGCTATCACCTGCAATTTATTGAATACATTGCTAAATAAATCGATTAGTCTTGGAGGGTGAGGGGAGAGAGAGAAAGAAAGAAAAGAGAAGAGAAAAAAATCTCATATAACTAATTTACCTGAATACCAATAGGTGATCCATTGCGATTGAGTCCCATTGGCACTTGCGTTGCGGGAAAGCCGAGAACATTGAATATAGCGCAATACGCAGCGCTCAGTATTTCACAAAACATAAGATTCGAAAAAATTTCCGAGCTTCGGAAAGTTGGATAAATAAATATCCCGTCCTCTCCCAACAAATTCTGCAGGAAAAAGGAGAGATGAAAGAACTCATTAATAACGGTGTTAAAGAGTTTGCACAGATATACAATAAATGTACCATATATTGTATAACGTATCGTACAACTTTCGGGTCACTAACCAGTAGCTTTTCTCGAAGTATTTCCCCCATTTTTGTGTAATATGATATGTCTGACTTCGAAAATGGAAAATGTTTCTGTAGCATTATGCTGTTTAAAAGCATTTGTTTTGTGTACGACGACATACCGAGCAGAGCTTTTCCAAATTCAGAAATCATATGCTTCTCAAGCTGCAGTAACAATATGATTGATAACACGATAGCATGTAGAGCTGAATTTTATATTTGCATTTATGAGAAAGCTAAAATATTATTATCTATCGACAATCGTCAATCATTATTTATAATAATATTTATGTGTTATAATGTGAGAAAAATATGCATATTGCACTCTAATCAAAAAATAATATTTTAATAATATTTTTACGTGTCAAATATTAGTTAAACTTTTCTTTTCTGTCTCCGCAACGGAGATGAAATTTTAGATTAACAAAGCACTGAATCCGAATGAGAATTATTTTACATAATTATTTTTTGTTAAATTATATTTCCATACCATGGGATCGTTTATGTCTTTCAACAGAGAAGAATAATTCTTTATATTGTTAAGTCCACCAAATGCAATTTCAACGACAGTTGTTGACCACTCTATTGGTAACTATAATGATAAGTAACCCAGTGAACACAGAACATTGCAGCAATATTGCGGCAATGTTGTAACATTGTAGCAACATTACAGCAATATTGCAAACATTGCCGTAATGTTGCTGCAATGTTCTGTGTTTACTGAAAATATATTAAATTATTTGTATAAATATGTTAAACGTATGTGGCAAAAATAACGTACCTGCTCCGTATGAATACCATAGTTTTTGAAATGATTCGCGGCCTTCAGTATACATTCTTTGATTTCCGATGATACCGGCAACAAGCCTAACGAATTGTCCAAAGCTTGCAGATAGTAGACCTTTAATTGCTTTAAGTCTACCGGCACATCCAAACGCAAGTTATGTTCACATTTTGACGTTAGTACTTTCATTAATAGACCGAGGTCTTCCGCGTATCTGGCCATCGGACCAAGGGTCAAAAGTTTAAGAAAAACTATATCTTTACACGTTGGTAGGTGTCCTTCAGTTGAAATAATTCCTGCAAGACAAAAGAGACTACAGAATAAATTAATATGTATTTTTATTTTTATTTGTTTCTCTCTTTATTTGAGATGATAAATACTTGATATTGTTAAAATTTACAAATTGTTAAAATTTTGAAATATAAAACTTATTAAATTAAAGCCAATGAAAAAGTTGAAACGCTCAGATTAAAGAAGAATTAGTTTACTAGACGTAGGTTTGTGTCCAAAAACTCCATTGAGCATAGCTGGTACTCGTATGGAACCAGCTAGATCCGAACCAATTCCAATTAAAGAAGCACCTGCTCCAAGTAATGCACCCTTAAACAAGACATTGTTTAAAATTTTCGTTTTATTTAGCCTATGAGATTATTTTTTATGTAAATAATAATTTTTAACATAAAACACGCGACAAATTTTGAACAGAGATGCGTTTATCATTGTATTTTCTTCAAGAAAGGAAAATATTCTGGATGAGAGTCGTGTTAATGAGTAACAATGTATCTTTTGCTCGTATGTGACATTCTGATCTTAACTCAAGTCGAAAAAAATACTGTAGAACACATAAATCTATAGTTACAATAGCAAAAAGTTACAATTTTGCATGTGTGTATAATTGTAACTGAATTACCTCGCCGCCAGATGATCCGCCGGCCGTGAACCTACTATCGTAAGCATTATGAGTGTGTCCGTACAACAGATTCGTAGTCTCTATCCCGGCGCTCAACTCCGGAGTGTTTGTGACGCACACTGGGATGCCGCCAGCATTTCGGATCAATTCGATGATCTCGGCATTGCGAGTCGCTTTTATTCCTTTGCGACTTAAAACGCCACCAGTATAACTGCATCCTGTAACGCGATTAAGCAATGACTAAATATTCCAAGCAGTTATCTTTGCATCTTTTTAAAATAAGATTTGTTAGGGTGCAATTGCGTTCATTAATGAGCTTTTATAGTGAATTATTGAGATATTTTCATAAGAATACGAATTATTTATACCTTTGACAGCGATAGCTTCTTTGATAGTAAGCGGCACACCAAAAAGCGGCTTTTCCTTTTCTAAAGTTTTGAAATCAAATTTTTCAGATTTTAATTGTTCGTCGCAGATTTTTGCCTCAATTATGGCCTCCTCGAATCGATTGTCAACAACGGCATTTAAATGACGATTCACTTCCTTAATTCGCTCTATATATTCGTTCACTATCACGTAGCTTGTTATCTAATTTTTATGGATAAACAATTTTCGTTATTTTAATAAAACATACAGTAAATTGCATTTAATTATAATAAAATGTAAATAAAAAAAATTTATTTAATAAAATAATTTTATAGTGTATACGATAAAAGTGTATAGTACGACAAGTAAAGTATCACCGTAAAAGTGTCATGAGTACACTCACCTCTCTTTGTCTAATTTTTCTAGCCAGTGTAGTAGCGCTTGACGTAAATAAGGGATTCGTTGCAGGTGGTATACTTTGTAACGGTTTTTTGTAGATGAACAAGAAGATCCAGTTTAGTATTCGATGTACGACGTTTATGATACTAAATGGCACACGTATTTTTAGCAGCATTGTTCTGTAGAATAAATGCTACTTATCTAACACATTGCGTATTATGTTAATCAAATATAAAATTTATTGATTTATTACTGAAAATGATTTTCACCGATAAGCGTAACTGATTTTGTTTTTTTTAATCTACTTTGGGTCATACGAGCGCGCACCACGCGCGCGTTATATTTTTCCGTTATGTAATAATTTACATTTTTACTTTCTTTAAAATACTTCTGCTTTTTATATAATAATAATAATACAAGCTGTCAAACAGCTATTAAACACCATCATCTCGATGACAACCGATCGGTAATAAATTAAATCGTCAACGCGACGTCGCGATGACAACGTATTTGATGGCAATAAAGCGCAACGCGAATTGTTCAATAAGCAACGCGAAAAAGAAGCAACAATCAAAATTTACGCGCCCTTTTTAAGGTAGGAAACTTTTTTAAGAGTTGAATTGTGCATTGGACAGTAACTGTCATTGTAATAATCCACAATTTTGCGCAAATTTGTCAATTTTTATATTTTTGGATTTTAAAACATTATAATCAATATTATATCGCAGATATATTAGTATACACATTATAAATGCCCTTATCAATAAACGATATTTATATACAGGGTGTTTCATAATGTCCGTGCCAACACTCGTGTGCGGGTAGAGTGCGGTAAACTGAATAGAAAAGTCCTTTATCGTTTTGCAATTTTTGCAATAATAATTGAGATATTAATTTAAAAAGGATTGACAAATAATTGCGCGTTGCACGCGGCTAGATTATGGACTGTACACTCTAGGCATGACAGCAACAAGGATCACACGGCAATGAAAAATAACAACATGTATT